AATTGCATGAAGTCGCATGAGGCAACGGGTAATGTTCCTCCTCTCCTTTTAAAACTGAAATGCTACTTCAGGATCTGAGGGTGCTTTGGCACAAAGCAGGCTGCATCTTGTTTGCTAAGGAAGGAGCTTACACTCTATTAGCTCTTGCAGATTGAAGACCATCGTGATGAAAGTGGGGAAGAGAGGCAGAAAATGGCAGCCATCAGTCAGCTTGGAATAGTTTCTGAACAGCAAGCCTTAGCATGAAATGAAATGGTTGGGAACAAATCATGACTGTGAAAAGAAAAGAAAAAAGAAAAGAAAAAAGAAAAGGAATTGAACTGCAAAGATCTAAGAGAGTATAAGCAATCCAGAAAGAGCAATGTTAGTTCATTGAATTAAGAAATGGTTGTACTTTGGACATATGGTGAGGACTCATGGTAAATTAGATGTCTCTACGGAAGTGGAGATGGAATTGGGGTGAGATTGATAGCCAATTTGGGGTGAAAATGGGGTGACATTTTCTGGCTAACCAAATCTCTCTGGATAAAGGAGAGATTGTGAGAGCCCCACCTGCATTCAGGACAGCTGCTCCTTGTGAGTAACCTGAAGGAGCTGATATTTCTGTAGGCAATTTGTGAACTGAGTGGCTGGGAATCAAGGGATATCCACCAAACTCAGTGTAACATAGCCTTGGGGACACAACATTCTGCTAAGCATAATTTCTTAATTACTTTTGGAAATAGCTTATTATTTGCTTTTCAACTATAGAGAACATCTTGATTAACAAGTTTTATAAGATGAACTGGGTGAGCTTCCTCTAATCCTTTAAAAACAAAAAAGATAAATTGAACTACACATTTTTTAAATAAGCAACGAAGGGTGATCACAGTTCCCTTGATGCCCGAAAAGGTAAAAATAGAAAGTAAAGGAGAAGAGAAGCAAAAGGGTGATCACATCATTGATTTTGGAAAGCTATAAATGGCATAGAAGCACAGAGAGACTTAAAATAAGATTTTGAAATTCATCATGGGAATACTTTCCATGAAAAAATTCTGATGTTTTGAATTCTCGGAAGAAAGCATGATAGCAGGGGAATTTGAACACTGGACACTAGAGGGAACCTAAAGGACTGAAGATTATAATTAAGGAGAAGAACACTTAAATTTGATTAAGACAGATTAGAGTAATATACTTTAACATTGGACATATTTGAGGATATTTGTAAGCAATGGATCAGAAGTCAGTTTTAAAAGTGTCTGCCGTTATAGATAGATAATAATAATAATAATAATAATAAATTTAATTTATATGCCGCCCTTCTCCCGACGGGACTCAGGGCGGCGCACAACATATTTAAAACAAAACATAAATACATTCCCCCCCGATAAAACCGAATTAAATCAAATTTTAAAGTTGTGTCTCTGTCAAATTGTTAAAAAATAAACCCCAAATAAAATCCTCCCNGGGGTAGTTCGTTCCAGAGGGTAGGGGCACCCACAGAGAAGGCCCTCCCCCTGGGGGTCGCCAGCCGACATTGCTTGGCCGACGGCACCCTGAGGAGGCCCACTCTGTGGGAGCGTACCGGTCTGAGGGAGGGGATCTGCGGCAGAAGGCGGTCTCGGAGATAACCGGGTCCTATGCCATGAAGCGCTTTAAAGATGGTCTTTAAGATGTTGGAGAAGAGATACAGTTTGCAGGATAGGACTGGAACTGATCTGAAAGTGGATTTAAAATAACATGATGCAAGAATGATAGAGGAAAAAATTTGGCTTTTTGTAAAATAAATGATGACATGGTGTAATATGTCATATGTTGTTGTTCATCTGAGATTGTATTTATCTACTTTTAATAACTGCTAGGGACCAGATGATTTTTACTACCCTACAACAGTCTGCAAAGGGAGAGCATGGCCCAGCTGGTTCTCAACTGGCTAAGGCAAGACTAGAATCATGGTCTTCCACTTTCCAGTCTGATATAACTTAGTTCTATCCCAGGTATGAGATTATCACTGGAAAAATATAATTAAATGCATTTCTAAGTCTTAAACCAAGTCCTCATTCCTACACCCCTTTCCCATGACTGCACCTTTAACTAGGCAGCCCATTTTTACTGTTCTACTTCAGCGGGTACAAAAAATAACTTAAAATTGTATGATTCCTTTAGATGAGCTCTAAGCAGAATTAAACATGCTGATATTTTGCCTATTTCTAATACAATTCCTGAAAGGTTTATATTTCATTGCATTTGGCTAATGCAATATATAAAACAAGGCCCTTTAAAAAAGAAAAGATAAAACATTTGCATTAAAGGCTGCCCAAATTTCATTTTGAATTTGGAGTAGAAATATTTTGCCTGGATTCTGTCAAATTTCATCAATTTTAATAATGTAAGAAAATGCAGTGTCTTTGGAAATACGATTATGTTTCCCAAGCTTTGTTAAAAGTTTTATTTCTGAATAAAATATAACTTTGCCAAGCTAAATCAACTCGATTTTAAGTCAAGAACCAAAAATACTAAGCATGCAAATAAATGCAAGTATATTAATAGGTACCACTTCGGTTGGAAGATAACAGCATTCTGTGTTCTTTGGCATATAACTGTGCTGGCCACATGACCACAGAAATTGTCTTCAGACAACATTGGCTTCCTAGGCTAAGAAACAGAGATAAGAATCATGTCCTAGAATCGGACAAGACTGACAGGGAGAACTTTACATCTCTCCCTCTCTCTCTCTCTCTCTCTCTGTGTGTGTCTATGTATGTGCATGTAGGAGAGTTATAACAAATGTACAAAAATTGAGGAGTGCACGAGATTAAGTGATTTCTAAAAATATTTGTGTATACAAAATTTAGATTTCAATACACCACCAAGAATCTCTTAAGCAACCATATAAATGGAACAGAATTTGGCCACACATCTAGCAGCAGAATACATTATTCTCATCTGATCGCTTGCAATGGTTAATTAACAAAGGGCATTGTTAAATCAGTCTGCCATTAAGTGATAACCTGCCATGAGGGACATGCACCTTGAATGGGAACTGGAGTAATTTCCAAGTTGGGTAACAACAAAGGTAATCTCAAATTGGGGGTATTAGTGTACCTATTCTAAGAAAATAGGTAGAAAGGCATTATACCTGGCTGATGTAAAGGCATGTTTTATTGTAACGCAGCACATAAAAATGCTATACACCAATTAGGCAAGAAGCCTTTGCAGGTGACCCCTTTTTAACAGAACACAACCAAAACTAGTTAGTATTCCTAGAAAACTGCAGGAAAAGGCATTTATTCACAGTGGGAAATCACTGTTTGTTCCTTACTGGATTCTTAATTTTGGGCCCATCTTCAAATATGAATTAGAGGAAAGCAATACATTATTTAGAAAATTAGTCTCAACTTTTTACTGTAAAATCACAGAATGAAGTTTACAATGACTGTTGCATTGACTATTGTGGGTGTCAATTAATACCTTTCTTTTCCTTCCTAGAGAACTTTAGGTATTTATTTTTTAATGTATTACAATTATTTTATTAGGGGAGCAGCTAATAGAAATCTGATTTAACTTTTATACAATTTTATTATGTGGAATGACTTGAAATCCAGGAAAATAAGATGTGAGTAAACTTGCATCAATAATTTATTGTTTTCTGATGAAAGAGCTGTATTTCAAGCACATTATCAGTTTAAGTTGATGACATCTTCAAGTATTGCTCTGAATTCAGCAGTATAAAAAGTTTTAACATTGTTTTACAATGACAAAACAGCAAAAATACAATACAGGTATTTGTATTTAATATATAAAAACACAATTATCAAGAACCATGCAATACAATTTGCTGAGGCTTATAAAACGGTCAATTTCATAGTTAGCAAAACTGACTTTATTGTCTCTGTCATTTATTCAAACCTCTGGATGCTAAGTATATGATCCAAAGCGCCATACAGTGCAGATGTGCATGCATAGAGGATTCCAGTGTGCTAAAAAAAAAGCCCAACTCTCACTTATGAGAAGCTCCAGAGACACCTGTGATATTAGACCAAGGCAATTACATTCTCATTAAAATAAACATCAAAGATGTTAATTTTTCCCACAAAACAGAGAACAAAGGAATCCTGTACAGAGTAATAATTTCCACTATCACTAATATGAACACAATGTTGATGTAGATTATGTGTCTAGAGCAGTGACGGCGAACCTTTCAGAGACCGAGTCCCCAAACTGCAACCCAAAACCCACTTATGCATCCTCGGGTGCCGGATGGGTGTGGCCCATTGGGAGGGTGTGGCCCATTGGGTGGGCATGGCTGCGGTGGCAACGGCAGACTGGGTGGGACTAAAAAGTTCAATCAATCAATTCCAACTTTGCAAGATTTTTTTTTCCCGCGAGAAGTTGAAATTGACTGATTGATTGAACCCTTTTTTTTTTTTTACACATGGCAGCGGAGACCTAAAGCGAAAAGGTTTTATAAAACCCAGCTGAAGGCCTAGGACTGGGACGATGGCGCGCATGCCCACAGAGAGGGCTCTGAGTGCCACCTCTGGCACCCATGCCATAGGTTCGCCACCACTGGTCTAGAGATTCCCTGGGCTATGACAATATTTTATAGTAACAGACCAAATGCTTACTCTCAACAAAAAACATTTTAAGAATAGTCTTTCATGCTATATCCAAAGAGAAAAACCTATTTCTAAAGAACCACTTTGGATTATCGGATATACAAAATGTAGACATTGGCAGATACCAGGCACTTCAGCACTCTGGATATTGTGGTATCCACTGCTAATCAAAGACACTTAGGACGTAATAGTTACAAGAACCACAATGATGTGAGCAACTAAATTAAAATGGAACATTTCAGTAGAAAAAAGGTAAGTAGTTCTAGACTTACAAATGTTTAATTACAGCTTGAAGTTACAATTTATTTATTTTACTTTATTTATATACCATTTTATTATTTTTAAACAATAGAAGGCAGCAAATATATGTACTACTCCTTCCTCTTCTTTTTATAACAATCCTGTGAGGTGAGTTGGTGTGAGAGAGAGTGCGATTGACTGTCCTCGAAGTTGTAACTGTCACACACCCCATTATGTGATTGAAATCTGGCCATTTGGCATCTGGCTAGCATTTACAGCAGTTACAGTCTCACGATTCTGTTTTGTGATCTTTGCAGCAGGCTTCCAATACGCAGTATCAATTGGGGATTGGGAGTTTGCAGAATAAATGCATGATTCACTTAACCACATGATTTGCTTAACAATTGCGGTAAAATGACCATGTAATTGTATCGGGTCATCTGACGCCCTTCTTAATAACTGCATCCCTATGGGACCAAAGTTCTGGTCCAAATGTTGGTCTTAAGTCAAGGACTACCTTTAATCCTGATCAGTATTTTCATGCAAATGAAATGGTACTGAAAAACAATCATATTTAATTCACAAAATACAAGAAAGCCTGAGACATTGAAGAGCATATTGCATATGTTCAGTGCCAAGTTACAGATGTGTCAAACTATTGTATATTTCCAAGATTACATTGTAATTGTTGGCACTTCCTGTGTGTAATATAATTTGAAATCATAAATGCAACCGCCTATTTATACTGCTCTGGCAAAGGCCTGGTGAGTTTTCTCTACCTAAACTAAAATATTTATATGGAATGTTGAACTGTCAAGTCAGTGTTCAAACCACAAAGACCAATGGATTTGTTTAATAAATTGCATCAAGAAATATTTAAAAATCTATTTAGATCTTTTGTCATAAACTCGTATATATATATATATAAATTCCTAAATTTCTTTGCCTTTATATAAGATGCTAACACTTTAAATGTTAGCATAAAATAACTGAGCTGCTTCTTTGCATGCTAAGGCTATGATGCATAATCATCACATGCTCTTGGTAAGACAGATTCACTAACACATAACATATATTTTTCCTTATCCAGTAACTCATTTGGTGTCTAGAGAAAAATTTAAAGTTTCTTTCTTCATTTGAGAGAATAGAAGCTTTAAGTATTAACTACCTGTGACGTGTGTAAAATGGAAATGATTCACAGGTTTTTCACACTGAAACACAGTTTGTTGGTTCTTCTCAAAGGCAGTTTTAGAAAGATATATATTTAAATTAATAAAGTATAAATACATGTATACAACTGACTCAATTACAAAGGCTACGATCCTCCACCACATTATTTTATTCTTATGTAAGAATTATTCAAACAATTTCAAGCTTGATTTAAATGAAAATCTCATTGTCTTAAATCCAACACGACAATATACAAATACTCAAGGTGTAAAATATTACATATTTCTTATTGAAAAGAAATTTCAATAGTTAATTTTTCCACCAAAGTAACTTAAATTTATTCCATGTCAAGATGAATATAGAGGAGCAATTTGCATTATAGATCAGTACTAAACAGACGCTTATATTCTTAAAAAATAAATGCTCCAGTTATAATATATTCTCAAGTGCTAACCGAAATCAGATATAGTACTAGTAATGATCTTGCATGTTAAGATCTTTTTAGTTTAAAGGAAATGTCACGGGGAATGCAAATTATTTATGAAAGAGAGTACTATAGTAGTTGAGGACATTTTTTAAAAAAAAAAAAAAAAAAAGAAGAAAACAATTAAATAAAAATAAGGCTTCACTTTGTTCTGCTACCTAGAAAACTGTATTATCAACCCACAGAAAATAAGGTCAACCGTCTTCTGCAATGTTCATCCAAAATGTTATAACTAGAAAAAGACCCCTTAAACAATACGTCCACTTAGACCCAAGCTAACTACCATGAAGACATTTGTGTAGCATTAGGAATGCACCCAACTGACTGGGACCCAAAATGCTTCTCTCTCCAGTTTCTCAAAAATTGTTTTCAATTCATTGTATGCTATGGTAAGATCATCATTCACTACAACTTTGTCAAAAAGATGGCTGTATTGACTTTCCATAATCTGGGAAGATTTAATCATTTCTTGAAAATCTTCTTCCTAAATAAAGAGAAGCAATTAGCCAAGTGTAAAAGCAAATCAAGTCATAGCACTATTAAATTTACAGGAAATTATAATTTATATCTTGGATACAAATCTTTATAATTGGAAAGCATCACTCATATAGAGGTAATCCAGAACTGAACCTAAAATTTCTGTTGCTAAGTGAGCAACAGAACTGAACCTAAAATTTCTGTTGCTAAGTGAGGCATTTGTTAAGTGAGTTTTGGCCCATTTTACAACCTTTCTTGTCACAGTTATTAAGTGAATCATTGCAACTGTAAAGTTAATTACACAGTTTTTAAGTAAACCAGGCTTCCCTATTGAGTTTGCTTATTAGAAGATTACAAAAGGAGATCACATGACCCCGGGATTTTGCAACCATCATAAATATGAACCAGCTGCCAAGCCTCTGAATTTTGCCCATGTGAATGTTGCAATGGTTGTAAGCGTGAAAAATGGTCATCAGTCACTTTTTTCAGTGCTGTTGTAACTTTGAACAGTCACTAAATGAACTATTGTAAGTCGAGGATACCTGTATAAGGCATGCCCCATAAACTGCCCCTGCTGTAAATAGCCCAATATTTAGTTTTCAGTAGCCACAGATGGCGAATCAATGTCCCCTTCTCATTGTATCTTTCAGTACTGCTATGTGATTTAGGAAGGACGTTTAACATTATCTAATAGTTCATTAAAATTATAATTAATTAATAATTGTAATAATTATT